TATAGGTACCCAAAGCAGTAATTCACCCCTTGGACCTTTGATCCAACCATCATGGTGAAGCTTAACTGGTTCAGCCTGTGTTGGCCTATCTTGATGCAGAAGCCCATCAATAAGTTGTTCACTATCACAGAGTGCATGTGAAGGCTCAAATGAGAAGCAGACATGACATGAGCTGATCACTGGAATTGCCTTTAATGAATCAAAATACAACACAGGGGGATTGAGCTTACCATCTGCTTTGTCAGACAGAACCTGAAATTCATTGCCCAAATTGGACATAGACATCATCAATTGCTCATCCAATGAGCCTGAAATGATCCTCCTGCCATCAGAGGAAAAGGAAACTAAAACAACTGCATTAGTATGCCCCCCAAGATGGTTGCCAGTCTCCACACCTCTTTCAGCATCCCAGACCCTCACAGTCTTGTCCAAAGAGCCTGACACAATCCTCTTGCCATCAGGGGAGAATGCAACTGACAAGACTCCATCTGTATGCCCCTCAAGATGGCTGCCAATCTCCACACCTCTTTCAGCATCCCAGACCCTCACAGTCTTGTCCCTTGAGCCTGACACAATCCTCTTGCCATCAGGGGAGAATGCAACTGACAAGACTCCATCTGTATGCCCCTCAAGATGGCTGCCAATCTCCACACCTCTTTCAGCATCCCAGACCCTCACAGTCATGTCCCAAGAGCCTGACACAATCCTCTTGCCATCAGGGGAGAATGCAACTGACAAGACTCCATCTGTATGCCCCTCAAGATAGCTGCCAATCTCCACACCTCTTTCAGCATCCCAGACCCTCACAGTCATGTCCCAAGAGCCTGACACAATCCTCTTGCCATCAGGGGAGAATGCAACTGACATGACTCCATCTGTATGCCCCTCAAGATGGCTGCCAATCTCCACACCTCTTTCAGCATCCCAGACCCTCACAGTCATGTCCCAAGAGCCTGACACAATCCTCTTGCCATCAGGGGAGAATGCAACTGACAAGACTGCATCTGTATGCCCCTCAAGATGGCTGCCAATCTCCACACCTCTTTCAGCATCCCAGACCCTCACAGTCTTGTCCCTTGAGCCTGACACAATCCTCTTGCCATCAGGGGAGAATGCAACTGACAAGACTCCATCTGTATGCCCCTCAAGATGGCTGCCAATCTCCACACCTCTTTCAGCATCCCAGACCCTCACAGTCATGTCCCAAGAGCCTGACACAATCCTCTTGCCATCAGGGGAGAATGCAACTGACCAGACTGGATCTGTATGCCCCTCAAGATGGCTGCCAATCTCCACACCTCTTTCAGCATCCCAGACCCTCACAGTCTTGTCCCAAGAGCCTGACACAATCCTCTTGCCATCAGGGGAGAATGCAACTGACAAGACTCCATCTGTATGCCCCTCAAGATGGCTGCCAATCTCCACACCTCTTTCAGCATCCCAGACCCTCACAGTCTTGTCCCTTGAGCCTGACACAATCCTCTTGCCATCAGGGGAGAATGCAACTGACCAGACTGGATCTGTATGCCCCTCAAGATGGTTGCCAATCTCCACACCTCTTTCAGCATCCCAGACCCTCACAGTCTTGTCCCTTGAGCCTGACACAATCCTCTTTCCATCAGGGGAGAATGCAACTGACAAGACTCCATATGTATGCCCCTCCAAGCCAAGCAGTTGAGTGGCTGACCAGTGTTCTGGGCCTCCTTCAACTCTAGGAAGGGAAGAAAATTTTGACATCAGCATCATTGACAGTGCTGTTTTCCTAGGAATAAATGCCAGTGCAGAGACATACAGATGTGGTGCACTGTGAGAAAATGCACCACCAGTGCTCTGAATACACCTGATTCCATCTTCTACCAAACCTAATGTATTCTTGACACCATCCTGGTTCTTCAATGTCAAGTCAGACAACATGAAATACAGGTAGCTATGACAAACTCACCAAGAGCCACCTTTTGGTAGCAATGAGTGCAGCAGTAGTATTTCCAACTCCACCCAGCAGGCTCATAGCCTCAAGCCAAAATAGAATTTTTTTCACTTCCCACAAGGGCCTTTACCCACTCTGCAATAGTCAAGTCAAATCTAGTGTTCTCCAGATGTTGCGACCAGAATTGACAAGCATAAGATAGATGGGGTGGAATGTTCTTGCTGATTCTCTCCGATAAATCAGCAACCTCTGCATTGCTCAAGTACGAACTTTCCAGTCCACAAATGTTGAACCGAAGGTCACCATGAAGGATTTGCAATGTGGCAATAGCAAGGTTATATGGGCAAGAGATGTCAATGAAGTAGGCTCCACTCCGTGAATGATCAGTTAGGAAGTCATAAAAGGACGCATGGAGGGGTCGAACGGGAGAGGAGGGATCTGTAATGCCCCCAAGTACTGGGGACATGAACTCGAGGATGACGACAACATCGTAGTGGTCCTGCTTGTTTGGGAAATGTCTGCGCACATGATTCAAGGCCGCCATAGGTAGAGGTTCAAGCGTCATTACAACTTGGCCCATCACCGAGTGGTATCGTTGAAGAGCTTTCTTCGATTTGGAGATAGCATTCTCCAGGATCGCCAGGTACGTGGTATCCAAGAGTGTTCGTCCCTCTTCGGACTGGAGAGTGATCACCTCATCATAGCGTTCCTGTACAGTTGTTCCAGCTCGGTTTGACTTGATGAAATCACAGGCTAGACGAGCCCATTCAAATAGACAATCCGCCTTCTGGGAGACTCTCTGAACTTCAGCGTCCCTGATGTTTGGAAGGTGTCCAAGTTGCTTGGAAACATACAGTCGGATATCGCGTTCTGTCCACTCTGCAAAAACATCGTCCAAAGAGGTTGCCCTCACATGCGGAGCAGCTCTCAACGCATGTCCAATGTCTGGCAACGGGCGGGATGTTACGAAGACACGGAAGTTATGAGGGAGCTCATCCGCTCGTGATGCAAGCACAGACAAGATGTGGCTCCGTGATCCTTCCGCGCCACTCTCGTCCAGCGCGTCGACCACCACGACCATACTTCCAATGATAGTACTCGACGCCTTCGACAACGGCTCTAATATCAGCTTCTCCCACTGCAACGTGACGTCAGATGTGGTCTTGAGGGAATGGTCCTTGGCAACTGCATCGGCCAGAGCCCGCCGGAATGCGGGATCGCGGTCTGCCAGATCGCGTGCAATGGTGGTAAATATCTTTTCCTCGCGACGCTCGGCTTGCCTATCACGGGCGAAGCAAAAGCACGACCCGAACCCTCCAGTATCTTTGAGCCACAGGGAGATGGTATGCGCGATGGCAGACTTCCCTCTCCCGGCCTGCCCATGCAGCCAGAAAATACGCGGAGTACCTTCATCAGTGTTATGGATCCAGTTAACGATCTCCGTGAGAATCTCAGTTCTGGTGCCGTCCAAACATCTCTTCGTCTTATTGACACTCGCACCTCCCGCATAAGCCATGCCTTCTAGGCTCAGATCCTCAAGTACGTGGTGCACGTTGGTGTGAATATCCCGGACCGCAAGGTCGCGATACTGTTGCATCAAGTCGTTCAGCAACTTGACGTAACCATCAGTCGTGGTCTGCGTCTCCGACATTATGTTCTTTCCTAGTCTCCTCCCTGAGAAGAATTTGAGTCAGATTTGCGATAAAAGGTGTAACCAACGTACAGAAATTTTTCGTCTCCGAGTAATTCTTGATGAATCGGGCCGCATCGCTAATCACCTGTGCAATCTTCCCCAAAGTTTCCTTCATACTATCGATGTTCCGAATGGTATCGTCCTCCAGAAGGAATCCATAGACGGTTCTGACTGTATCAAGGAGGCCGAATACCTCCCTGTCCAGGTTAGCTTGATTGAGAAGCGACTACAGAGGAATGTGTGAGGTGCGCAGCGCATACAACCGGGGCGTGAACACGTACCTGAGCAGTAGCGGTTAAGATTCCCAGCGCAATCTGGGCATAGGGGTGAACCTGCAGCCTTACATCAGAGTATGTGAGTATATGTAGGGCAATGAGCGTACATTGGCGATACTAGTAACGACGGAGTTAAATGTTTTGAGAGGCTGGAGATACGTGTTGCTGAGGTTTTGGATGCTGGCGGCCGCAGTATCAGCCTGTGCAACAAGCTCGATGGCTAATTGGCCAGTGCCTGGTATGGGCGCCATACGATCCAGGGCCTGTTGAGCAGCGTCGACTTCACTGCCTACCAATGCCGAGGCCGGACTGAGCGTGGTACTGGCGGGGTCAACAGCACCATCGCCGGTGTCGCCGGATGGCCCGACTACAGTATTGACATCATGCGCAGCCGGCACGGGCACTGTTTCTGAGTCGTGGGCTGGCCTTTGCATCTGTCCAACACGATTGTTACTCAGGGCCATCGCAACAATGGGATGAGGTAGATCACACACATCCTGAGTTGGGGTCGCCTGGGTTTGTTCTCTTTGCTGCTGAGCACCCCCACTGGCGCCTGTGTCAGCAGTCTGTGCTGCGATGGAGCCTTGGTTCGACCGACGGAAGATGTGCCTCAAACTTGCGAGCGGTGTCGGCGTTCCAACATTCGGGGCTACACCACCTTGTGGCTGTTTCTTGGTGAATCAGTGACTACAATCGCCTGCAGGCAAATGAACTCCTTACGGAAACAGGGTTGGATGGAGAGCCAGACGGCTTTCTGCATCTAAAAATTCGGCGAGCCATTGAGAAACCAGTATGTGTTTCGTTCAAACTTTTCTGGATGAGGTCGACGTTGAAAATGAAGTTGCAATAAGCGCGCGGAAATGCTGTAGACACGTTGCAAACTACTGTGTCATTATTGACACAAGGACCGGCAGCAGGATAGCCAACTCTAGCACTCACGCACTCGGCTCTGGAGCAGGGATGATGTAGATTATCGAACTAATAGGGGACTCAACAACAAGTGATGTGGATTTCAGTATTGTAACACTTCTCCCCCTGGGTGCTCGGATCCATCTTATCAGACCGAGATATTTGGTCACCGTCATCTTTGCAGCGCACGCAATCTCGCTGGGATTCAGTTGCATCGTATGTCTTCTTTTATTATCCGAGTGTGCTACTAATAATATGTAGATATCAGAAAGGTGGGCGAAATCGCTATTGGGCATGAAGAAGCTCGAAGCTGTTAAGCTCGGAACATCCGAGCGTATTCAGGACGCACACACAGTGAATTGTTTGAGTTGAAATGAACAATACTGAATATGCTTATCGACGTCATAGTTGGCTGCCATTCATTGCCTGATAGTTCGAGACTGATTGAGACAAAACCTGCCGTCACAGTACTCATACACGACAGCATTCCGGGGCAAGAACGGTCCCTTGTACTACACATCTAAAGTACACGGCTCGAAGTAAATACGTGTACAGGGGGTATCCAAGAATTACAACAGTAGTTGTTGTTACACGCTCATCTTCATCGGTATCACTTCATGTGACTGGTAACCTTCAACGACGAAATCACTCTCCGCCTCCTTAGCACTATACTTCAACTGTTCGAGGTCTCGTAAGCTCTCCAATTCCTTCTTGAACCGCAGTTTCGGGAAGGGCTTAGGATGACGCTCCACCTGCTTCTCGAGCGCTTCCACGTGGTTCTTGTACACGTGCGCATCGCCGAGCTGGATGATCAGTTCGTGGGCTTCGGTATTGGTGACTTGTGCGACTAGGTGTGTGAGCAGAGCGTACGATGCGATGTTGAAGGGTATGCCCAGTCCGAGGTCAGCGGAACGCTGATACATTAGACAAGACAAGCGATTTTTTGAGGAGGCGTTGGGGGTGATATGGACGTAGAATTGGCACATCATATGGCAGGGAGGCAACGCCATCAGTGGTATAGCTTTCAAAGAGAGTGAGTCTGAGCGGGATGTAGAAGGCACCGTCCATAATTACCAGCTGGATTCCAAGCGCTGAGAATGATGCGGCGGTCCGTGGGTGTCTCCACGATCTTCCTTATGCACTCCTGCAGTTGATCTACCCCTTGTCCCGCATAATCTGTCTTGCAGTCTACATACTCCGCGCCAAAGTGTCTCCATTGGAATCCATAGACCGGACCCAGATCACCCTCCTCTCGATGACCAAGACCACGCTTCTCGAGGAACTCCTTCGAACCATTCCCGTTCCATATCTTGACGCCCTTGGCGTCGAGAACTTTCGCATCCGTGTCCCCACGTATGAACCATAGCAGCTCCTCAGCAATACCCTTCACAAATATTTTCTTAGTGGTAAGAAGTGGAAATGTCCCGTCTCTGAGGGAGAAGCGCAGCGAAGGTGGAGCAAAGATGGACAGTGTGCCAGTACCGGTCCTGTCGTCTCGACACTCCCCATTCTCGATGACGCGTCGAACGAGATTCAGGTATTGGTATTCTTCGTGGTCGCCATCTGCACACGCGGTGGTCATGGTAGTGATTGAAGGGCCAAACGATTTAAAACGCGTCGATACGCGCTGGTGATGGAGTGACAGGCTGGCACGTGACCTTCGTCACGTCGGTGAACCTGTCTTCTCCCTTTTCAGGGTGCACTGTTATCTGAAGCGTCTGGAATGTTGATGCTTCTAGTAAATTCATGCGGCTCTATACCAAGGTGCCATAGAACCTGCACTCATCTGGGAAACAGCTACGCGACGCGGCTGTTAACAGCTCTTCCGCACTTGAGCGAGCTCTCTCATTGGCCAACAAGTGTCTTAGCGAGTCTTACGACAAGTCACTTCCAAACGGAGGCAGGTATAACCTGCTCACTCCCTCGGGTAGTTTTGCAGATGCTCCTTGACTCAGTGGCACATTAAAACTTCGGAGGTCGGCCCGTTAGACCAGGAACAGCTTCGCAGTCTGTCCTCGTACCCTGGCAAGGCTAACACTAGTTCAAAGTGAAGGATTATGCTCCACGCCCACACCCACAAAGCTGCAGGTATCGCTCGCAGGTTTGAGTACAAGTCTCGATGTGGACAAGTCGTTGCGTACGTTACTGGTGCGGATGATAAGCGGCTTCACGGGCACTTTATCGTGCGATATTGTATGGATGGTAGGCCCTGTGAAGGGGTACATCCGTGGGTCACGAAACGAAACAAAGCAACCACACACTCCGCGACCGGCTCACCTAGGCTCGTTCCCAATATGGATGTGAAAAGGTGCAACTGTACGTTCAACTGTCGGTCGTGGATTTGGTAGCAAAACTAAATTTGGAGCCGAGAGAGAAATTTCTGGAGGTGAGTACCGGAACCGGAAGACCCCAGTGTTTGCAAAACGACTGCAGTGGTTACTTCCTGGTCTATATTGTATTCGCCCCGAGCCGATCAGTACAAAGAGAGCATGTCGTCTTGGTTTGCAGAATCTAGTGGAGTTGGCCGCAGTACGAGAGCAGGTTGAGACGTTGAGGATCATAGGTGATTTCCAATGTGACTTTATTCTCTCACACGCCGCGCTCAAAGATCCCCGCCGAGGCCCGAGGAAGAAACGCTGAATAAGTTTTGCGCACCACTCATATGCAAGGGTCGTTATCTTGTAGTAGCAATGCAATCGTGAAGGGGGAGTCTCCGAGTGCTATTGTAGAGAAGTCCACGATGTGCATATAGCACGAGCTATCGCCTGTGATCTAATAGGCACCATTACTGGATCGTAAGTAGGAAGAATTGACTTTTGATTTTACGGTTCAGCATTCAATACTCCCTCACTTTTCAACGGAAGAGGCGGCATCGTCATCCGGAACACACTCTGTCCGCTACCATCCCCAGAGTCGGCTTTACCGTAAATCTTCCCTGGGAAAGATGTCACGGGTCGCCACGACACTCAAGCTATTCCAGCCCCAGGTTCGATCCAGCCGAGTAAAATTTCACTGTACTTCACAGGTATGGTCCGAAAGAGAACATATATTCCCCAGCCAACGAGCGAGTATACCCACGCGCACGCATCATTACACCTTCCCCCTCCAAGCTTTCCACAACCACAACGTCGCAACGAACGCGAGCGCCGCAGCAACCCCACTCACCTCAAACGTTGCGCGCCAACACCGTACGCCCATGCACACGCCCCCGTCGGCCGGGGTATGTTCCACAGCGACGAACGCATACAGGTAAGAGAAGACAGATGTACCGAGGAAGGGAGCGTAAATGAGGATGCCGTAGTTGCGTCCGAGATTGTGGATACCCCATATGGAAGAGACCAGAGAGGGTCTGTGAAAAGCGAAGTGATATCAAGTAGAAGCCCCTGGAGGGAAGGGAAGTGATGGACGTACAGAATGGTGAAGGCGCAACCATATGCGATGCCTGCTCCAATACTGCAAGGTATTAGGTTTTTGTATGCAAGACCAGTATATGAAGAAGGTCGATATCTCACCTCAGTGCCCACAGGGCAGCTTGGGAACGGATACCGACGACCGTCCACAAGCACGTACATACGAGGACGGACGACGAGAAGGCAAGGAATACGAGACGGCTAACGAAGTGCTTCCTGAGTGTACCTCGCGAGCTAGGGTTGCGGATGCGATGGGACAGGAGAAACGAAGTCTGCAAGAGGTCCTACGACAAAACGAGAAACCGTATTCGCGATGGATATAGATCTGACTTGCGTAGAGGTGGCAAGGTCGCCAGAGGGTATGCCATCGAGGGCTGTTGTCGGAAAGTATCGTGAAGGCAAGGAGAGCACTATTGTGCCGATGTTGGAAATGACCATCTCACACTGCATGGGAGAAAAAGTGAGGTGGAGAATTATGATGCGTGTTGCGTGTGTGGACATACCGAACCAAGGATGACAAATACTATGAAGGCGAGTATCCAAAAGTTGAAATCCTTGAGCATATCAAGGGCAGACTGTGATCGGAGGTCTTCATCCGTAGCAGGCGTTACATCGAATGATGCGGCGGAGCTCGTCTTGGGTAGCAACGAAGTGCACTCGTCTGCCAATTCGGCTGGATCCTCGGTATCGGTATCGAACGGTTTTGATAGACATTCTTCCACTGGAGGTTGAACATGCATTGTAAACGCGCCGACTAGGTGGACGAATCCGGAAAGGAGTGCGAGAAATCGCAAGAACTGAGTGACGTCGAGGCCGGTATCAGGACGAGAGAAATAACGGGTGGCGAGGATAGACAGAAACGTGGGCGATAGTCCAAATAGAGCGGCACTCGTCCCAGTAGCCAATCCGATATAGTGAGGGAAATTCTTGGAGGCAGTAACCACGGCCGATAAGAATCTTTGTCGGTCGTCAGCAATATCTTGTCATGACGGGAAAAGAAACGATACCCACGAGCATACGGTACCTGCGGCGCAGATAAGGAAATAGAAGGCGAGTCTGCGGTACGATGAATCACTGGACGTGACGATATCAACTGGTGTCAAGGCTATCTCCCGAGCGAAGAGCCCGAAACCAGTCGAGAACAGGACAGCAGAGGCGAGGGAACATATCCACGGGCCATAATAGTCGATGGCCTTGCCAGCGAATGCCGCGAACAGGTACTGACCCGCCATTCCGCTGTATGCATAAAACTGAGCAAGACGGAAGGAGAGTGACAATGAATGAACATCAATTACGCGAGGGCTACCGTGGTCAGCTGTGGTTGTGTCAGTTTGAGTTGGGTGACGAGTGTGGGGGCTATGAGCGGGAAGCAGATTATCCCCCCAGCGCATAGACTGCCCATGATATATCGTATTCCGCGTCATGAGCGTCATCGCGAGCACGGCTGAGTCGTGCATGACTCACGTATTTGCGGCAATGGAGACACAAGCCAGTGCCAGCTTGACACGGCGCAGGTAGGGCGAGCCATTGGGGCGTTGTTTCATGGGGGACGACATGGAAGTGCTGGATCCCGGGTCTCTTCGAAGACGGTGCTTATGTTCTGCATGCGGGTGACATGCGGAGAGAAGTGGCGCTCGAGTTGTGGCTCACCCGGGGTAATCAATACCCGGTATCGATTGTGGTACTACAAAAGCGGTACCTCACTTCTAAGATTTTACTAATGAATTACTCTCCTAAGGTGGTATTCCCGTACTCTATGCATGTAATGGAAGCCTTATCAACAAGGGCAGCGCCTCCTCTTGGAGTGTGCCATCCTTGGAGCATTGGTCTCTTGTAGAAGGTCTGGCCCCGAGGGTACGGATATTCCCAACGGTATCCAGGAACCCGCTTTGCGGCGGGTGCATTATTTCATATCCTCAAGAACACCTGAAGGCTTCTTTCACGGCTTTAATAAGCTGGCTGTTGGGCCAAGAGTCAAACCGTGGGTCGACGAGGCGCTTAAGGCTGGTCATTTCGGGACAACCGTACCAGGTAGTCGGTGAGGTCGCATGTTGCTTATCCAGTCGATCTCGTGCATGCGGTCTGCGATGTGGAATATTGATGCGGTGGGTCTTTGAGTCAAGCACTTTGACACGAACAGTGGCGTCGAACGCAAAAGGCTTACATAACCTGCACGTAGGGGTTTTGCCAGGACTCTCCCCTAACTAACTAGCTGTTGTGTAGTCGAAGCCCAACTCGCAATCAAGCGTCTTCTGCAAACTTTGTCTCTCTGGTCCCTCCTCTTCATACTTTCGAGGGTAACTTTATTCTTACCGCTAGATTGCATACTCGAATCCGGTAACCATTCTTCATGCAATAATTTGATTGTATATTTACTTGTGGATCCTTCCCCTCCAGGGAAGAACCGAAACACATAACGCTCCACGTGCCATTCCGAAGAAGCTGTTTTCCTGCGATGGACGAAATCGCTCAGGCACGTGCTGAACTGGCACGACTGGAAAGCGCAGTGAGGAGTCGTCTTGACGAGATGTTGGCTGCCCGCAAAGCCGTTGAAGTGCAGAGAGCTCAGATCAAAGAGTTTAACAGCCAACGGCCCTCAACAATTCACCGTCTTTCTGACGAGCTCCTCGTGCAGATATTTGGTTTTGCGATGGTTTGTCGCGAAAATAGGATGTTCACTGATCATGTCAGGCTCGATCAATGGCGGAGAAACCTGGCTAGCGTCTCGCGACATTGGAGAGAGGTGATCCTGATCACACCAATTCTCTGGCGCGATATCTACCTGACATCACGACAAGACCAATGTGCGTTGGAGTCGCAGCTGAAGAGGAGTCAAGGAGTACTTCTTGACGTCACGATTAGAACAGATATGGCGAATTACTCTACTATTGTTCCGTTACTGCGGCATCTTTGTCCAACCACAAACCGCTGGCGTAGCCTGCACATCTATAACGGCCCCTCCAACATTCTAAATTTTAGCGCCATCCTTCACGAGTTGAGCAAGCTGGAATTCCCTGCCCTTGCAGACATTTACATCCAGATGTATCACCCGAAATCGATCTACCTTGTCCTGCAATGTCCTTTACCAAGTGCACCTGCTCTCAAGCATCTGACACTCCAAAGTTTTGTCTCAGCTAGCCCACTCGAGACTCCCGAGCTGGAATTTAAATATTTCGATATACTTCCGTTGTTACTCTTTCGGACTTCCAGCGCCTCGTTAATTACGCTCTCCCTCGCTGGCTGTGCTGATGTCTGGATGCTTGGGCGGAACACCATCCACTTCCCGCTTCTTGAGGAACTCACGCTCAACAACCTGTGTACTGCACCGTTTTTGGAAGCCATCATAGCACCTAAGCTTGAACGCTTTCGCCTCATGGATCACAAATGTCAGTGGGAAGCGTTCAGTCTGTTTGGGTCGAAATTCAGCAAGGTCTACCATCTTGATCTTACGATCAATGGGAAATCAATTTCAGCAGACGTTCTCAATGGCATCGCTTTCTGTCAGGCATTTCCTAACACACGCCATGCAGAGTTCTCGAGCATCAAAGACCTCCATCCTCTCGTCACACCTATCTCATCGCCCGGAAAGTTTGCGGGGTCACAAATTCCAGCAAACAGCTGGGCAAGCCTCGAATCATTGCGGATATTCATACCAAAGGACTTTCGAAACCACATTGAAAAATTTGATCAGCTCACGCAATGGCTGGAAATGCGACAGGAGTCTGGCTTGCCAAAGTTGCACGTCAAGTTCACAGGCAATCCAAACGTCCCGCTGAATCCCACAGATTTATCCCTCCTTTTTAGCAAGGTACAAAACCGCTGCATTCTGGAATACTGCTTACCGCTGTCCCTCCGTCCAATTGATTCCATGAGGAGCAAGCGGGGTGAAGAATTCCTTGGAATTTGGTAAATTGATCGCTCTGCTTCGCGAATCATTGTGTTAAGAGTAAATTTTTCAATATATTTTGCTCGCAGTATGTAGACCCTACCTTTGTATGTTGCAGATAACGTGGAATTTTGTAGTGGTGGTGAATGTTGAGCTATCGTTGACTCGGACTCGTTCGCACATACACATATGTACCCTTCATGTATCGCATATGTGGAAGGGGGGAGGCAGCTTAGAAACGTTGCAATCTCCCTAGTTTCTGCAACAACTGCCGCACTGTTCTATAATGGAGACTTTGGACTTTGATATGGCAATTATTTTCAGTGCGCGATATGGTGTGTGTTTGGGCTGGGAAGTATTCCGGTCATTCGCCGCTTCGAAGCTCACGATACAGGCTCCGAAAAGGCGATGTTTCTTTCAAGTTCGAAGACCAAAGGTTGATTTCTAGATTGAAAGCACTGAAGAAAATTTCCACTGTTAAATGGAAATGGTCTCCCCGTATTTGCGCAGTGACAAGTTTTCAGGTGGTGCCTTCGTATACGTCTAGTCGCAGGCCCCTTGAGTCCTTACGGGACAAGGGCCACCGGATCCACTGGAGTGCTACGAGGAGTGGTTTCCTTTAGGTGCGATTTCGCAGTTCGAAGGACACAGGCGAGCACCTGCGAAAGTCGAAGCGGAGAATGACAACGTTCACCACAACATCGCTAATCGCAAATAAGAACTCGAGGACTGACAACTTCAAAAAATGTGCAGAGCTGGTCACTGGAACAGTATGTGGACTCGACGTGCGAGTACTGGTTCATTCTCGTCACACCGCCATTATTTACACAAACTGCTGTAAATCACACATCTGTTAACGCAGTACTTTAGGGTTCAAATACATAGATCTGCTAAAAGGAGAAGAATGAACTGCTGTCACTAGGAGACTCTAATACTCAGCGGAAGACCTCATTTAGTAGTATGACTCGATCGCTTCCAACCCCCTTTTCTACTGGTTTAAAACAGCACAACTTACGCCACCAACCATCACACATTGTCTCTCCGGGCCCTCCCACTCCTACTGTCGGTAGTAAGTGAAACAAGTTCTTAACACCTTTGACTGTCATACACAGGTAGGTTGGATGCCCGGTTCCCCCTGGTGATCGTTCTTCATGTGCTGATTCTCACTTAAGGATCCTTCTCCTCCAAGGGAGAAGCAGAACGCGGAAGGTCTCACCACTATTAAACTCCCCATTCCACTTTCCCGTCTGAAGAACTAGAAACCACAGCGACGGCAACGTCAGCCCACTATGGGTGAACTCAATCGGCATGCTGAGCTAGCACGACTGGAAAGCATAGAGCAGAGTTGTATAGGCCGTTTCTTTGTTGCCCTTGGAGCCATGGACACCCAGAGAATGCAGCTTGAAGAGCTTATCAAGAAGCGGGACCCTGGCCCCGCCATTCACCGTCTTCCTGTTGAGCTTCTTGTGCTGATATTCTGCTTCACAATTGTTTGTCCATATTATGCGGGGACATATAAACTTGACATTGAAATTGGTTATCGGAGGAGAAGTCTGGCTATTGTCTCGCGACGTTGGAGAGATGTGATCTTGGATACTCCTATTCTCTGGCAGGACATCTGTCTGGCATCACCACAAGATCGACACACACTGGTGTTGCAGTTGAAGAGGAGTCAAGGTTTGCTTCTCGACGTCACGATCACAAATAAATTGGCAGATTACTCCACTACTGATGAGTTGCTGCACCATCTCCGTCCAACCACGAACCGCTGGCGTAGCCTCTACATCTGTGACAGTGACAGCTATCCAAGTACAAATTCCATCATTCACGAGTTGAGCAAGTTGGAATTTCCTTCCCTTGTAGACATTCACGCCGAAATGTATCCTCTCGACTTGGAGTATCTTGGTCTGCAGAATCTCTTACCACGTGCATCTGCTCTCAAACATCTAAAGTTCGAAGAACTTTCCCCAGCCGATGATTTTTTGATAGCTAACCCACTCGAAACTCTGGAACTGACGTTTGCATCGGATGATATGCCTCGGTGGATCCTGTCGCGGATCCCCAACTTCTCATTAATCACGCTCTGCCTTCAAGGTGATGCTTACGACTGGGTGCTCGAGCCAAACAGTATCCACTTCCCACTTCTTGAGAAACTTGCGCTGGACATTCCGGATCCCGACCAATTTTTGGAAGCCATCTCAGCACCGAAACTTCAGCGCCTTGAGCTCACGGCTTACGGGTGCCAGTGGGAAGCCTTCAGTCGGTCTAGGTCGAAATTCAGCACTGTCTACCATCTTATTCTTGATTTTGGGGGATCGATTCCAGTTGACCCTCTAGCTCTCTGTTGGGTATTTCCTAACACTCACCATGCAGAGTTCATATACATGGCAGACCTCCTTTCCCTCATTGTGCCTATGTCATCCCCCGGAAATCCCTCAGGGTCACAAACTCCAGCAGACAACTGGGCGAGCCTTGAAACATTGTCGGTACTCAATTCAGCCTGGGACTTAAACCACATGGAAGAATTTAATCTACTTGTGCAATGGCTACAAATACGACACGGGCTTGGTTTCCCCAAGTTGCATATCAAGTTCAAAGGCAACTCTCAGAATCCAGAAGATTTATCTACCATTTGCAGGTAAATTACAAGACTGCTGCATTCTGGAACATTGCCTATCATTGTCCTTCGGCCAATATTACACCATGGCGGGTAAACGAAGTGAAGAAGTCTTCAGAATTTGGTAATTATCACTCTGCTTCGTGAATCATTTTTCTCATGTTAAGAGTAAACCTTCGACAGATTTTGCCTACAATTGACCCTAGTCCGGTAAGCCGTCAATGGTATCTCCTACTACCAAGTAATGTGGAGTTTTGCAAGGGTGGCAAATGGCTTTTTTTTCGCTTGGGCTATCACTGATGACTCGCTCGCACGTACAAATGGGTACCCTCCCCCACACCCTAGAAGAATGTAATTCCAACGTTATAGGATTAGTACTGTCAAAATTGATGCGTGGAGGTCAGTGCAGTCGTTGGTCACCAAGCAGTCTGGATGTTTTCGTTGGGTGTAGAGTCGGTTTATGTCCACGAGACAAAGCCTCATAAATACCAGTTGCGGCAGCAGAAGACGATTCGCCAGTGAAACGTTTTAAAGTCGTGAATCTACTCAAAGTAGGGACAGGTGTAAGTCCGTTGTTTCCACAAAACATGTACCGCAGGTTGTAAATCCCCAAATACAAGCAAGGGTTATACCGCCCTGGACCGAGTTTCTTGCTAATATCCTACCTGTTCTGACAACACATCTCCACTAAAACCAAGTGTATGCCGACCGAGCGAAAAGGCAGAATAGAGGCGGTCACTCAATAAACCAACTCCGTAGAGCGGCGGAGGTGGATCTGGAGGAAACATGAACAAGAATACTAGGCGGGTGGTGGAGGTGTCCTAGGACAGCCGCCATTGAAAGAGCGACAGGAAAAGAAGAAAAGAGATGATACAACTTATCTTCGTACTTCTCATGGAACTGCGGCAAGTGCGGGAGGTATGTATTCTAGCGCCGATCGAGTGTAATCGACCTTCACTGAGGCCTAATGAGACACCCCTTCCGAACAGAAAATGGCAGGCAAGACCGTTCTGCCCGACCCCTCCGTGATGCAGGATATTAGGCCAACAACGCACCTCGCTGTAGATCCTTATGAGTGCTTTGACTTGCACTTTTTTTCCCACGTTCTGCTATTATGGAACATGGTCACACACCAAGGTACGTAGAAGTCGTCGGCTCGGACAGCGTGCCACAGGGGTTCAACTTATGCACTTGAAGAACACTTTGTGCGATATGCTGTCTGTGTATTAGCCTACCAGAGAACAGTGCTGCAAATCGTTTACCGGAGCCAATACAGTCTCTGGCACACTTCCTCCTCTCTATCTCGTGCTGTTAAGTAATGGTAAGCAGGATACCTATGGATCTCGAGAAACTGATATGAGTACAGTCCTCAGAACTGATGGCTTTATCTACCCACTGAGGACCTGTCCAAGTTTCCATGCTACAGAACGACGAATAGGTGAATGGGTGTGACATCCATCCCCGGCAATGAACACGGTACCAGAGTGCGAGAACAGAGGGACGAGTGTATGATGTAGCAGCAGGCCTTCACGAGGAAGCCAATTGAAACCTGTTCCTCAGGCGTCTGAGGTCTGAAATAAGCAGTGCAAATATTCACTTGTACATTCCTGGACGCTGTCAGGTCAGGTCTGCAAACTCATTGTGACGACCGATCATATAAGTATAGTTCACATGTCGAAATTACTGATAGGTACAGCTACTCAACCGTGGCGGCCGACATGTTGCCGACCATCATTTAAATGGACAAACCGGATGTGCTTTGACAAGCTCACCGGCAGAACCTCAGTCGTGCACTCGGGCTATCAACATATTACCACCCCCTTCGGTCCAACGTACTCCTTAACTCTGTGGAAATGGCGGAAATGCTCAGGGACATCGTCACATCTTATTGGCTGCAAATAGCCCCCACTATTATGCCGCCACCATTGACAATCTTGCATCGGACAGTTACTGAATTGACGCCGGCGGGGGGATTTCTTGGATTTCGGGAGTGCCTCAGTAGCAGGTATGGAGAAGTGGGTGCTGTGTGAAATTTGGTGTGCAAGCGTGTCGGCTTCGAAAGGGTGTTAACATTGTCGGACTATATGCCGTGCACAGGACACAGTACATGCAATGTGCAGGACACATACCGCATTGGGACCACTCTGCTGCAAATTGATGCCATCATAGGATCCCGGGAGTGCATCCCGCCCTACCAACTTTGAAAGACATTAACATTTGCTAGCACACGCAATGTACAGGACACATACCTCACGTCTCGCTGCAGGCCCGAAGACCTCCGTGTCTGCAAAACCGCTAGGACCACTCTGCTACAAAAAACTGTTATGAAATCTCGGGAGCACATCCCCCCTTGTCGACTTTGAAAGATGTTAATGTTTGCCGGTGCACTGCGGTGTACAGGACACATACCACATTGGGACCACTCTGCTGCAAATTGACGCGATCATAGGGTCCTGTGAACGTATCCTGCTCTGTCAACGTTGCGGTGCTTGCGGCGCGATAGCCTCGTCAGGTAGATTTGACGTGCCCGATTGCGAGATAGAAGAGTGACCTGCATCCTCCAGGAACGTTGTGAAGAGACGGCTCAGATGGTCGTCGGCCAACGGAACCGAGTCCTCGGCAGCGGTACGGAACAATGTGGAGGCATCAGAGTTCCCTCCACCTTGATAAGTCTGCGGCAGTATCGGTAGACAATCCAAAGAAGTCCGTTTCAAACGAGTCGAAATCTGGTATCCGCGATCGATCGACTTCTACGTCGTCTGCTTGGAAGGGCGAGCAAGAAAGAACCACAGCCACAGCGGGCTAGAGTGGAGTGTGTTAAGTGGGCGACCTATGACAAAGAAGACGAATACCTTGTCTCCGGCTGCATCACATTCATTATCGACCTTATGCACCATTTGGGCCTCCAGCAACATTCCTATACATGTCTGCAGAGGATCGGCACGCATATCACAAGGTAGTATGAGGACTCCTACCTCATACGTTGCCGCTAGCGTGGAAGGTGCGCTCTGTGTTTCTTGTGGTTGGGGTATCTCGAAAGGCTAGCCGAATGATAAGTGAAATGGCACCGGTTGATACGGCGGATACGAATGGCGACGAGGGTGGTCGTATACATGAGAGTAAGCTGGGCAGTACGTAGGAGGCCACGGACGAACTGGGTCTCCGGGCGGGAACGCGGGGATAGGGTTGTGGTGGCTGAGAGTCGTGGTACGCCCAGTCCTGTTCGAAGTCCCGAGTGACCGAAGACATCGAGGAAAGAACCAGTGAAATGAGGATCGACTGCCAGGGTCGGGGGAGGATGGCGAGTTCTGGCTGCGTGTCCGGTAGAAATAACGTGCGATGGAAAGAAGAATTACGGCGAGAACGACGAGGCAGACGATTGCCAACACGTTGAGTGGAGCATCTGGGCGGCCCTGTGAACGCTTGACATGACGAAGAATAGCCGAGCGAGCGTTGAATGGGGATCTGGCTGGGGGAACAGGCATTAGGGTAGGGGACATTGTGGGCGAAGAAGGAAACTGGGCGGACGGCGGAAGATAGGGGGATAGCTTTATATATGTACCGTCCCTGTCAGCCTCCAGGGTCAGCGCCGTCAGCCATGCATGCGAGCTTGCGGGGGCAATAACACATTCCGACACAGGCTTTCATGCTAAGGGACTGCACCCTCAGCTTCTAAGATACACGCGCAGGGAGGAAAAGATACTTGGACTGATCTTGGGTATCCATACGACATACGGTGACAATTAGCTTCATGTCGCGAAAGAACTGGCTAAACGTACCTGGAAGCGGGCCGCGGCCCGACGGCGACACAGTCGTCGGTGAGGAAATAGGGACCGGCCAGCATTACTTCCCAGCTGTCCGACTTGAGTATTTTATGTACAGCAGGCGCACTAATCCAGCTTGGAGTCATTCGACACAGCTTCATTAGAGCTAGTTTGGAAACCTCGGGTAAGTCGCAATTAGTTCCTTCAATGCTTGTACATGTTTTTCCACCGGGGCAGTTCACATAGTGAGTTTGAATTGAGTTTGAAACATTTCCTCCTGTACACGAGATGGATGACATCAATATTGGTGGTGTCCATGAGGAGATTCACCGCCAATGCTTGCTGCACCATATCACTCTTGTCATCAATATCATCCTCTGCATGATCAGTCATACTGAAGCACAATCTATGCCAATCCAAAGGATTCCAGAGCCTTACCACACATCAGCACTAACTGGTGAGGAATGGCTTATTGAGCTCCTTGCAGGTCATCCAGAATGAATCCAATGTGAACTTGGTGTTCACACTGATGTCTTTGCATGACTTGTGGAGGAGCTTTGCCAGATCAGTCATGGCAACTCTTGATTCATTTCACTTGAAGGACAACTAGCTATTTTCCTCTATATGAGTGTGATGGGTCTGACTATCAGGCATGTTGGTGAACATTTTCAACAGTCAAATGAGACCATATCTTGGTATGTCATCACCCTTAGTTTTCTGATACTTTTCTAACCTCCTTGATCAGGTACTTTTGCAAGATACTCTTCATCCTATCATCATCACCCTTCTATTCCACATATGTCAAGATGCCTAGTGCCAATGATATTCAGCCAAAGATTAGGGGAGATAAAAGATTTTGGCCATATTTCAAGGATGTGATTGGTGTGTTGGATGGGAGCCATATCCATGCCACTCTGGCATCGGAGGACTGGGTGGTGTACTGAAACCACAAAGGTGCCATATCACAGAACTGCTTTTTTGCTTGTGATTTCCAGCTGATGTTTACATATTCATTGACTGGTTGGGAGGGTTTGGCTACTGATGTGCATGTATACCAGGATGCACATATGAAAGGGCTTGACATCCCAACAGGAAAGTTTCTCCTTGTGGATGCTGGATTCCCCCTGCACCCAGAAATTCTAGTCCCATACTGGGCAACTTGCTACCACCTTGCAGAGTGGCACCAAGTGCATTTAAGGTAATTTTCTTTGAATTATCTGTCTTATTGTCCTGCTGAACTGACAAGACCCAGGAATGAAGAAGAGTTGTTCAACCTCTGGCACTCATCTGCATGCAACATCATCGAGTGAATATTTGGTGTCCTCAAGTGTCGTTTTTGCATCTTACTACTAAGCCCTGAGTACAACATTGATGTCCAAGGTCAAATCCCCTCAGCACTCTGTGCACTGCACAACTTCATCCATACTTATGATGCTGAAGAAGGTCCAATGCCAGGACAGGATGTCCACATAGATGAGTGAGGTGTGGGAGGGCCTGGGGGATTGGTGGATGAGGGCAGAGCCAACAAAGATAATCCCAATGTAGGTCAGCTTGAAGCAGCACACACTTTCTGTGACCAGATCACTCAACACATGTGGGATGATTATCAGGAAATCATTTGATTGTGGGATCTCAGGCAATTGCCCTTGGGTAGCAACAACTATAGCTCTGATGACTCCACTAACACTGGTAGCAGTATGAGTGATATATCAATGTTGTAGACACGTAGTTCATTTGTTCCCATTCCATGCAATATACATACACTTTCAGATCTCTCATGTGTGATGAAGAAAAAAAAGATAGATTGTGACAAAGAAAAAAAAAGATTGTGATACAATAATAGCAGGTATGGAGGTACAGCAAACATCAATCTACCTATAGTATTTTTTACTGTGTACCAGTCTGAGAACTACCAACCCTGAGTTTCATCCAATACTCCAGTTTAGCAAGTGCCAAATGATCTTCCTTCTTTGCTGTCCTCAAGTATACATCAGTGAAGCTGAGATTCTGTGTGATCAACAATCAGATGAATGCTGTGAGTCTGAGTGTGGTTCAATGGTGAAAACCAACCAAAACCAACACAAAAGACAAAAGGAGCAAGTGGTGGTGTGCCTATGTGGTACCTAGATGGTAGAACCTGTTCTTTGGGAGGGTTTTTGCAAGCTACAACACTCAAAGATGAGTGCTGAGGGTTGGGGGTGCTCCTGATGAAGAAGAAGCAGGAATGCGAGAGAATGCAATAGGGTAGACTGCTGTCAGCCTACAGAAGGATGGATGATGGCTTAATTTGATGTCCTAAGCTGCACTGAGCTCAGGGAGGGCTTGGAGTGAAGTAGATGATAGTTAGACCCTTAATAAAGTCTCAACTATCAAAGCTGCTGAATGAATTACTGAGTGATGATAAAATGTGAGCAAGAGGGGCTCTCTGATGTCTTTTTTTTTTGCTATCTAAATACAGTGATTTATATACAGTTCAGGGGTGTTGCCCTTGGAAAACAAGGTGCAAACACTTGGTAAGTGATTGGTAACCAATGAGTAAGGAATGTAAGTGATGGGTAATCATCTTGGAAAGCATTGGTAAGCATTGGTAAGGATTAGCAACCCAAAAAGTGAAGAATCAGTAAGCAAAGTCAAAAGATTGGTAAGTATTGGCAATAGGTGAGTCAAAGACAGTCAGAATGTCAAAGTATGAGTCAAGTAATGTCAGGAACTGGGAAAGTGCACTGGAATTGCATTAGGGGGAGGCTGTGCATGTCACATCTCAAAGAGATCACTTCTAGGCCAAGGTGGGATGACAGAGTGGCAGTGCTGATCTGATGCTGATATAGTACATCCAAAAGTGGACAGGGTGAGTCAGATGTCAACAGGGGTCAAGCTTTGGGGGTCTGTGGGGTGACAGGAGCATAGGGGATTGCAACTTTCCCCCCCAAACCATCCTCTCAGGGAAGCAAATAAAAACTTCATGAATGAGGCTCTGTTGGAAGAGAGGATGAAGGGGGAGTGTCTTCTGCTGTATCTTGCAACAAGGAGGCAAGATGTGCATCATACTCATCATGGATGCAATCAGGGAGAGTGGAGAACAGTAGATTATACTGTAGCTGTTGCAATCTTGGAAGAATGATGGATGAGACTGGTATGAAGACATTGCAGGGAGCAGGGAGGAAGGATCCATATGCTTCTTGGACTGGAGAGACTGAAACGACCACATAAGACCTTTCCAAGTGAATGACAGACCTGAGGCAACCAAAGAACATCCTCCTAGAGGTCATACTGACAAAAAGAACACACTGTCCAAGCTGGATGGGCTGAGAGGGCACAGATGAGGGTGGGATGTACCAGGATGCTTCAGGATGGAAGCTGGTAGGAACTCCTGGTAGATATATGTAGCCATGGTCCCTAGCAAAGGGGACAAGCAAAATGATTGATGTAGAGGCAGCCATATCAGAAGAATTTAGTGAAATGAGCATTTTTTGGAGGGAGTGCTGTAGAAATGTGTGGAGTGTGCAAATCCTTTCCAATTTTGGAAGGTAAGATCGCATGGCTGAGCACTACAAGCAAGTGTGGGAATGGTCTTGGTATCTGCAGAAATGGCAGAGATATGTCGAAAACTGGAATGCCATACACAAGTGCTTAAGAATTTTAGCCAGCACTTAACTTGCTCCCTTTCCTTTTCTCTGGCACTGATGACTTGTTCTTGTGTGAGGGATGACTGCTGACATTCCTGGCTGTCCTTCTTTGCATGAGGGCTATGGTCTTCATCTCTGTTCATCAGCTGTATCCATGTCCACCTCACCAAACACCTTTGGTGTGTGACAATGCTTTGATGGGACTGGGGAAATCTTGGTCTTGATCATCCAGTAAATGAATTGCTTGTGCCCTTGTTGTCAACACTTTATCGATGGCAGATGTCATTGATGTGTTGATCGATGAAGTGAGGAAGTTGATCAAGCCTTGTAGGCCTACCATGATAGGGTTTGATATTGCAAGTGAAGCCAGAGGTGGAGGATTGCAAGAATGATGGGAATGGGAGCTTTTTGCATAGTCCAAAGTGGCAGAGAGGTTGGCACATTTGTTGGAGGCAGGAGCAGTAGCAGAAATGTCACTTGCATTGGCATATGGGAGAATGGACATGGTAGTTGAAACCTTGTCATCACCAAGCATATCGGTGTGAGACCGCTTCCCACTAGATGGTGGAGCACTGGATGGAGGGATAGAAATGTCAGACAGGTTGATGGTAGATGGTGGATCATCAAAAAATGGGAAATGGTCATCATCCTGACCTGGGTGGGACTAGGGGAAGTGCTGGCACAGAATCAGTAGGCACTGAAGTGGATATGGGTTTGATGGGTGTGGGAGTGGAGGAGGGTGCAGGTTCAGAAGGCACTGAAGTGGAAGTGGTTAGTTGAACGGTTGGCACTCCACTGTCTCCATTGTCTAGGCTGTTGGTGGTGGCATTGGAACTATCTGGACTAAAGGTGTTGGCCCCATGGGCACCACCAGTGAGGTATGATATCTGCAATGTAGGGATATAAATCCCATCCACTCGTTTTGAACTGGTGAATGAGGGGGTGACTCTAAGAGTAATCATCAGTTCATCAAGCCACAGGGTTAAAAAATAAAAATAAAAATACCTTCACAAAATCCTTGAACACCTGCTCAGCATGCTGACCCTGAATATTAGTGCCCTTCTCGTTGTCCCAGTGGGCTCCAGATGGTTGTGCTTGATAGTACTCGAT